AAAAAAAAAAAAAAAAAAAAAAAAAAAAAAAAAAAAAAAAAAAAGAAAGAAAGAGGAGTTGAGCAAAAGTATCAGCAGTTTAAGACAATCCATTGGTCTTTAAATCCAAATTATTATACTACTTATAATATGGATCCATTTGAGTTCAGTTTTTGTATATGGTATGAGATAGAGTTCCAAAATTTATTCTTTTACCTGTGGATGTTTAGTCGTTCCACCGTTTGTTGAAAAGACTTTCCCTTTTGTATTGTCTTCTCAATAAAGCAGTTGCCTATAATGGATGGATTTATTTCTGGTCTCTTAATTCCATCTGTTGATATATCCATCTCTTCTTACGTCACTACCACACAGTCTTAATTACTATAGTCTTTTAGTAAATTTGGAAATTGGGAATCATGAATATTCCAATTTGTGTCCTTCTGTTTCAGAATTGTTGTAGCTATTTTGGGTTCCTTGAATTTCCATGTGAATTTTAAGATCAGCTTGTCAATTTCTGCAAAGAAATTACAAAGAAGCCTGCTGGGATTGTCGTGATGACTATGTTGAATCTTTAGATCATTTTGGGGAGTATTGCTATCTAAATACTACTAAGTACTCTGATCCTTTCATCTGGGATATCTTTCCATTTATTTAGGTCTTTAATTTTGTTCAGTGATATTTTATAGTTTTCAGTGTACAAGTCTTGCACTTGTTAACTTTATTGCTTAAGTATTTTATACAAGATCATGTCATCTGTGAATACAGATAGTTTTTTGTTGTTTTTTTGTTTTGGTAGGATGGCTGGTACAGGGATCGAACCCTGTACCTTGGTGTTATCACCACCATTCTCTAACCAACTGTGCTAACTGACCAGCCAGAGATAGTTTTGTTTCTTCCTTTCTAATCTGGATCCCTTTTTAGTTAGTTTTTTTTTTTTCTCCCTTGCTTAATTGCCCTAACATGAGCCTCTAGTATAATGTTGAATAGAAATGAGGAGAGCAGGACATTCTTGTCTTGTTCCTGATTTTAGGAAAAAGTATCTAGTGTTTCACTATTAAGTATGATGATAGCTATGGGTTTTTCATAGATGTACTTCATCAGGTTGAGGAAGTTCCCTTACCTTCCAGTTCAAGTTAGTTGAGTGTTTTTATCATGAAAGGGTTTTTTGCCCAGTACTGTTTCTGCATCTATAGAGGTGATCACCTGGTTTTTGTTTTTTATTCTCTTGAAATACAGTGTTGACTTTTGGATGTTAAACAAACCTTGCATTCCTGGGCTAAATCTCACTTGGTCATTGTGTATAATTCTTTTCCCATGTTTCTGAATTCATTTGGCTAGTATTTTATTGAGGATTTTGTGTCTGTATTCCTAAGGGATATTGTTTTGTAGTTTTCTTTTGTTGTATTTGTCTAGTTGTGATATTAGGGTACTATTGGCCTCATAAAATGAACTGATAAGAGCTCTCTCCTCTTCTAGTTTTTGTGAGAAGAATTGGTTTTAATTATTCTTTAAATGTTTGGTAGAATTCAGAAATTTAGCCATCTCGTCGTGGACTTTTTCTTATGGGTAGTTTTTTGAGTATTAATTCAAGTTGTATTTGTTATAGATCTATTCAGATTTACTGTTTCTTCTTGGTTGAGTTTCACTAGTTTGTGTCTTTCTAGGAATTTGTCAATTTTATCTAGATTCATTAATTCATTGGCATATAATTTTTCATACTTTACCCTTATAATTTTTCCTATTTCTGTAAGGTTGGTAGTAATGTCCTCTCTTCCAATTCCTGACTTTGTAATTTGAGTGTTCTTGGTCAGTATAGCTTGTCAATTTTATTGACCTTTTCAAAGAACTAAGTTTTGGTTTTGTTGAGTCTTCTCTATTGTTTTTTTTTTTTTGCTTGTTTTGTTTTCCATTTTTAAAACTTCAGCTCTAAATTTTATTTTTCTTCTTTTTGCTTACTTTGGATTTAGTTTGCTCTTTTTCTAAGGTTAGTTTGTTTGAGATCTTTCTTCTTATTTAATTGGGGTGTTTATAGGTTAAAATTTCTGCCTATGCACTGTTTTAAGTGTTTTCATTTTAATTCATCCTGAAAGAATTTTGTAATTTCTTTTGACCCATTGCTTGTAAGACTGTGTTGTTTAATTTGTTGTTTTATTTGTGAACTTTCCAGATTTCCTTTTGTTACTGATTTCTAGTTTTATTCATTGTGATTGAAGAACATACTTTGTTTGACCTCAGTCTCTTTAAATTTATTGAGAGTTGTGTGACCTAACATGGTGTATACTGGAGAATGTTCCATATGCACTTGGGGAGGTTGTTGTTGAGTATGTTTGTTACTTGTTTATGCTGTTGCTGAAGTCTTTCATTTGTTTATTTTTGTAGGTCTATGCATTATTGAAATTGGGGTATAGAAGTCTCCAACTGTTGTTTTGAATTGTCTGTGTCTCCCTTCGGTTTTGTCAGTTTTTTCCTTCATGTGTTTTGGAGCTCCCTTTATAAGTGCATATATTGTTACATATTTCTGATGGATTGATCCTGCTAATATAAAATGTCTTTCGCTGTCTCTGTTAACAATTTTCTTCTTAGAGTCCATTTTGTTTGATATTAGTATTGCCATTTTAGTTCTCTTTTGGTATGTCTTTTGGCATGGTATATCTTTTTCTTTTAAGTTATATGTGTCTTAATCTAAAATTTGTCATTTTTAGAGATCATATAGTGAATTATGTTTTTTGAATACAGGTATGTTTTGCATATCTCTGCCATTTAATTGGAGAAATTAGACAATTTGCATTTAACATAATGATCAATAAGGTCAGATTTATCCTTGCCATTTTGCTGTTAGTGTGTCTGTTTTGGTCTTCTGTTCCTACATTACTGCCTTCCTTAATGTTAAATAGATAGTTTCTAGTGTACCATCTTAATTCCCTTGTTCTTTCTTTGACTTTTTTCTTAGTGGTTGCTTTGGGTAATAAAACTAACTTTTTATTTATTTATTTTTTTAATTCTCAAAATTGATTATACAAATTTTGGGGGTTCAACATTGAGATATGTTGATCAAATCAATATTGTTACAAATCATAATTATTATTTATGCCCCTTGTCCAATCCCTCCCCATCCTCCTTTCCCTCCCTCCACCCCCCTCTAATCACCCTAGATTTCTTCTCACCTTCTGAAAGAATAATGGTTACTCTGTTCATTTGCTGCCCAAAAGATCTGTCCAATGCTGAGAGGTGTGATCAGGTCCCCCAATACTATCATAGAGCAGATGTCTTTTCCATCACTCTGAAATGGGCTCTGTGGAGAGAGACATCCTCCTCCTTTCTTTCTGCTGGTGACTCTCCTTGTGTTAAGGCACTCCAGTGGCTGGCAGACGATCTGCATGGTAGTTGTGGCATCTAGCCGCCTTCACAGCAGCCATGGTTATCATGGTGGCTGTGGTGAGCCACCCACATGGAGAAGATGTTTTTGGCATGCTCCTTGGTGCTGATGGTGTGCCTGGTTGTGGAGAATGTCTGATCCCCAGCTCCGTACTCCAGGTTCCTGAGTGGGTCCTGAGGCACTGGCACTGTGTGCCTGATTGTGGGAGGGGGGTTTGGTCCCCTTCTCCACGCCCCAGTTCCCCAGACGGGCCCGAGGCACTGGAGTGGTGAACCTGGTTGTGGGAGGGGGGGTCGGGTCCCCTTCTCCATGCCCTGGGTCCCCGAGTGGGCCCTAAGGCGCTAGCACAGGGTGCCTGGTTGTGGGAGGGGGGTCTAGTCCCAAGCTCCATATCCTAGGTCCCTGGGCGGGCTCCGAGGCACTGGCGCAGTGAACCTGGTCGTGGGAGGGGGGTTTGGTCCCCTTCTCCATGACCTGGGTCCCTGGGTGGGCCCCAAGGCGCTGGTGAGGTGTGCCTGGTTGTGGGAGCAGGGTCTGGTCCCCTTCTCCATGCCCTGGGTCCCTGAGTGGGCCTTGAGGTGCTGGCACAGGGTGCCTGGTTGTGGGAGGGGGGTCCGGTCCCCTTCTCAATGCCCCAGGTCAGTCTAATTCTGATTAATATCAACTGAATTTTCAAAGGATGCAAACATTTCCTCCTGTATGGATCTGTTCCCTTCCCCCTTCATTGTGCCATTATTGTCATACAGATTAAACCTTTATACATTGAGTGCCCATCAAGATATTTATAATTCTTGCACCATGCAGTTGTCCTTTAAATTAGGTAGAGATATACTGTCTTCTTTATTTACCTATGTACCTTTACTAGTATTTTTTCATATTGATTCAGGTTAGTGTCTGGTATTTTTTCATTTCGGCTAAAGGATTCCCTTTAATCCTTAGGGCAGGTCTGATAGCAATGAATTGCCTCAGTTTTTGTTATCTGGGTAATGTCTTAATTTTTCCTTTGTTTTTAGAGGATGGTTTTGCCAGATAAAGGATTCCTGATTGATATTCCTTTTCTTTCAACACTTTGAATGTTCCACCTCACTGCTTTCTGTCCTCCATAGTTTCTGGTGAGACATCAGCTGTTAATTTTATTGAGCATCCCTTGAATGTGATGAATTGCTTCTCTTGCTTCTGTTTTTTTATTCAACAGCTTGATTATGTTCTAGGTATGGATCTCTTGAGTTTATTATACTTGGAATTTGTTGAGTTTCTTGGATGTGTATATTAATGTTTTTCATCAAATTCAGGAAGTTTTCAGACATAATTTCTACAAATTTTCTCTTCTCTACATCTTGGATTTCCTTTATGTTTATGTTGGTACACTTGATGGTGTTGCACATGTCTCTTGAGCCTATTTTTTCCCTTTTTGTTTTCTAGTTTCTAAGGCTAGATAATTTTAATTGCTTGTATTAGTATTTTTCAGTTGCTTGTAACAGAATATTTGAAATGTATTTCTTACAGTTTTGGAGGCTGTGATGTCCATAGTCCAGGGGACACATCTGATGAGGGACTTGTTGGTTGGTGGTGACTCTTCACAGCAACCCAGGGCATCACCAAGAATAGCTGAGCAAGAGAGTGCTAACTCCTCACTTGCTCTCCTTTGAAAGTAATAAGTCCTCACAATCTGATCATCTCTTCAAGGCCCCACCTTTCAGTTACTATAGTAGGATTTGCCACCCTCTTAACAGTTACAGTGTGGATTAAGCTTCAGTGAGTTTGGGGGGGACATTCAGTCCACATCATTGACCTGTCTCCAAGTTTATGGATTCATTCTTTTTGCTTGCTTGGATCTGCTGTTGGACACCTGTAGTGAGGTTTTTGTTTCAGTTATTGTACTTTTTAACTTCAGAATTTTCTATTTGGTTCTTTTTTTTTTTAATAATTACTGTTGATGTACTATATTTCCTTTAGTTCTTTTGATATATTTTTATTTAAATGGGGTTTTTTTTGGTTTTGTTTTTCATGGCTGGCCAGAATAGGGATTGTAGCCTGGACCTTGGTATTATCAGCACCATGCTCTAACCTACTGAGCTTACTTGCAGCCTTTAAATATATTCTTTGAATCTTTTAAAATGGCCGATTTAAAGTCTTTGTTTAGCATGTCCAACATCTGTACGTCTTCAGGGACAGTTTCTATTGATTGCTTTCCCCCGCTATGGGCCATGCTTTCTTTTTTCTTTGCATGTGTTGTAACTTTTGTTGAAAATGGGAAATTTTAAATAATGTTGTAATTCTTGAAATTAGATTTTCCCCCCTTTCACCAGAGTTTGTTTGTTGTTGTTGCTCTTTTTTTATTTAGTGACTTTTCTGAATGAATTCTGTAAAGTTTATTTTTTGTCATGTTTGGCCACTGATGTCTCTGCTTGGTTATTAGCCTTATTGTCAGTTAAGATTGGACAGAGACTTCCTTAAACCCACACCTCAGAGTCAGTAAGCTAGTCTTTGCCCTGTCATTCTGTGTTCACATCAACACTAAGCTAGGCAACTGACAGCTGCACCTTAGTTAGCCTTTACATCCAGAGTTTTCCTTTTAAGATTTTTGGTTAGCCTGTTGTTTGCTCTAATTGTAATCTTCCACCTTGGGCAGCCAGAAAGTTAAAACAATTACCATTAGATGTTTTCTACAGACACCTCATGGAGGAAAGGTTTTTGCTGTGGTCTAGCTCTTAGGTCAAATAAAGACAGCCTTGCCCTTGTGTTCTCACAGGGACTCTCTAGACATGTGAAATAATGACAGTTCTCTGAGAACAAGGCTTTGAAGATGTTTCAAACCTGTTCTTGACCCTTCCAGTGGCTGTCAGGCTGCTGGCTTTCACTGTGATTGGGGGTTCTTAGTTTCCACCTCTGCTGTAGATGGAGGTGGAGCTAGAGATGAGACTAGGGCAAATTAGTATGCCAGAAAGCTCTTTCCTTAACTACAATTTAGTTGTATTTCTTGGGGGAAAAAAAAATTTTTTTTCTCAATTGTTGTAAACCTTTGGTTAATTTCCAGAATTCTGAAAAAGTTGATTCTGACATTTGTTTTTGCCAATTTTCTGATTTTATAAGGGGGAGAATATTTGGAAGTCATTATTCTGTCCTTTTCATTCTATATCTTATATATTTTTGTTAAGTTCTGAAACATAATAAAGTGAACACCTTTGGTTCTACTGTGTAACTTACCCTATAAAATGACCAGTCTTTTAGAAACTACCCTTGTCTTACTCCCTAACTCTGTTTACCTCTCCCACATAGATTTTGAATTTTATTTTTCTTGTAAAAAATTTCATGTGTATCTCTAAATCAGTGGTTCTCAACCGAGGGCAATTTCGCTCCCTCAGAGTCATTCGATATTATTTTTGATTGTCATAGCTGGAGAGAATGTACTTCTAGTATCTAGTGGGTAGAGGCCAATGATACTGCTAAACATCCTACTATGCACAGGATAGCCTCCCACAACAATGAATTATCCAATCCAAAGAACTCTATAAATTCTGAATGTTCTAAATCTTTAGGTTTTAAAGTTTTGCCTTTCACATTTATATATTTTAATACACCTGAAATAGAATATTCTGTAAAATTAAGTGTATTTTAGAATTGGATAAAATGTTTTGTGTGTGTGTGTGTATATTACCCAACTTCTGGGTTCTAATTTCTTTAGCCTAGTATATTAACATTACCTGTGTTCTTCAAGAATTTAGTAAAATAATGCATGTAAAATATTTAGTGTCCGTATTCATAAAAGAAATATAAATGCCAGAGAAGGAAAGTTATTCGAACTAATAAATGGAGAAGTCATTATGATGGAGTTGTAATCTTCAATGGATGCTAAAAGTAGTGAGCGAATATTTGAGGAGCAAGATAATTACATAGTTTCAAAGTATCTCCCCACTTATTATTAAAATAATTATGAAGGGGCAAAATAATACCTTTTCAGTGGAGAAACCTGGCAGATTCCACATTAATCTTTTGATCAAAGTGATCACCAGCTGAAACCTACATCATCATGAGCCAAAAGATAAAATGCACTGCAAAGGATACAATGTAATTTATGTGGTAAGGTTTATAATGCATAATCTGAATCTAAAATAGCAGACAAACTCAAATCAAGGGACATTCTACGAAATAACTATCTTAAGAAAAAAATCAGGGTCAAGAAAGACACGTAAAGAATTCTGAGGAATTCTTCCAGATTAAAGGAGCTAAAGAGGTGACAACTCAATGGAATGGAATGGATCCTGATCCAAGGGAAAAATAGCTGTAAGGGACGTTATGGGAATAATTGGTGTAATGTTAATATGGCCTATTTATTTTATCAGTGTTCAATGTCTGATTGTGATAATTTTATATGGTTATGTAGAAAAAAATATTTTTACCTTAGGGAGATACATGGCAAAATATTTAGGGATAAAAGATACATGATGGATCTAAACTTAAATGCTTCAGGGGAAAATGGTATAGAAAGAATGGTTAAACAAATAGGGCAGAATGTAAACTATTGGAGAGTGAAGCATTTAGGACAGTTCATTGTAATGTTCTTGCCATTTTTAAGTTTGAAATCCTGTCAGAAATAAGAAGTTACTCCAAAATAGGATTAATATTTTAATATACCATATTTTATCAATTCTAAAATGCCAATTTTTTTTATATTTTAACATCTGTGGGGGATGGCTGATTAGCTCAGTTGGTTAGAGGACCCCCTTATCAGCCAGCTACTCCCCCCAAAAAATTCTCTGACATGATATTGCTTTTCATTGGTGATGTCTTAAAAATTTTAATTGGTGGAATTATTTTGGTTTTGCACAGTATATAAAATAATGGTGTGCTTTATACAATTGAAGGCATTTTGGATTAAAGGCATGTGCATCATGATATACAGTCAGTTCTGTGCACCCATGGGTTCAGCTAACCAAATGTGGATCGAAAATATTCAGGAATAAAAGAATTGCACCTGTATTGAAACAATGTACAGACCTTTTTCTTGTCATTATTCTCTATATAATACAGTATAACAACTATTTATGTAGCATTTACATTGTATTAGGTATTATAAGTAATTTAGAGAAGATTTAAAGTATATGGGAAGGGGCTGGCTGGAAGGCTCATTTGGTTACAGCACAGCTTTGTAACACCAAGGACAACGGTTTGGATCCCCAAACCAGCTAGCTGCAAAATAAAATAAAATAATAATAATGTATGTGGGAGGATGTGCATAGGTTATATTCAAATACTGTAACATTTTATACAAGGAACTTGTGCCTCCGTAGATTTTTGGTATATTCAGGAAGTCCTGGAACCAGTCCCCCCACAGATACCAAGGGACAACTACTGCAGGTAGCCTGTTTCCATAACTATAGCATAGGTCTCTTTGGAACAATTTCTTTTTAGTTTGTTCTGCCTTTGTTTTTATGATTGGTAAAACACAGACATAACTTTAAAGTTAAAGATCTAAAACAGGGTACATTTGGAGGAGCCTTTCTTTAAACTCTGTTACCTCCACGTTGTTGTCCCCTTCCATAGGTAACCATTTTCATTAATACTTTTGGGTTATCTTTGGATTTTGAAAACAAATATATATATATATTTGTATATTTCTTCCCTTCAGTGTGGAAAAGCTAGTGTATTATACTACCTTTTTACAGGTACAAAAATTACTCTTTTATACCTTGCATCTTTCATTTGATCATGTATCTTAGAGTTCACTTTATAGAGATAGAGAACTTCCTTATTCCTTCTAATTACTGCAAAGTACTCCGTTGACTGGATATTCTGTGCTTTATTAACAGATCTCCTGTTGATGGACATTTTGATTGTTTTCACTCTGTCTCACAAATAGTGTTGCAGTGTTTAATATTCATCATCTTTGCCAATGTATATTTGGGAACTCTAGAAGTGGAATTACTAAGTTAGTGGGTAAATACATGTGTAATTTTGTTAGATTTTGCACAATTTCCCTGCATAGGAATTTCTCCATAGCCTTGCTAATAGAGGATGTGCTAAACTGCAAGGTGAGATGGTATCTCTGTGAAGATTGCTTCAGATGGATGCTTGGGTCCTTATATTTGAAATGCTTTTAATTGTTTTGAGCATCTTTTGGAAACTAATGGTTTTTACTATTTGTTACTAAAGTAAGTAAGTAGACCCATACCTTTAGGAGTGAAAGTCTCCCTTAATCTCCCTTTTCTTTTCCATGGTCTGTTAATATTTTTCTTCTTGGCTTCAATGGACATAAAACAGCTCATTGTTACCATTGTATTACATGTTTGAACCATTGTTATTTTGTTGTTGGCACAAGTAAAAATATCATAGATTTTGCTTTAGTGATTTAATGTAGACTTACTTTAAGCCAATAGTAAAATTCGGAATTCAGAACGGAAGATTTAAGACAATATCGAGTTTGTGTAAGGTTTCTGAATAACAAAGGGGCCTCATAGTTTTATGAGGCAATATGAGCAACCTAGGATAGGAAGGTGGGCTTTTCTGCCAAATAATCATTTATCCTACTTGACATTTGTTTTAGAGATCAGTCACTTTATATGCTTGCTAAATGTAGTTACTAGGGGTATGGTATTTTTATTTATACTTAGTGTGTTGGTTTTGACTGATAAACTAATGTAAAAACTGCTTGTCTGTTTGCTTTAATATGTCTAGGTTTAAGCATAATTTTTGACATGGTGTTTGAAGATAAGGAATGTCTCACAGGCTTTAGTTACAGAGGTGTAAATTAGTTTGTTCTTTTATTTTTTATATTTTTTTTGATGGCTGGCCAGTATGGGGATTCAAACTCTTGACCTTGATGTCACAAGAGAGCACACTTAACCAACTGAGCTGACCGGCCAGCCTTTAGAGTAGAAGTTTTTTTGTTTCTTATAAAAATTCTTTAAATTTTTCATTTATTTGTTTATTTTTTCCCCAGAGGTGTAAATTAGATAGTTTCAAGAAGAAACCAATGCCCGGAAAAATCCTAGTGATGAGTGACAGTTGCAAAGGGGTGGGGCATGGCAGACGTTTGGTCATATGTTCCAGCAAGTTTTCTTTATTAGAAAATTAGGTTGGTTTGTTTAATAGGTGTTCTGGGGAATAGCAAGTGATATTTTTCACTTTTCTTTTCTCTTTAGGAGTGTTTCTCAGGAGTTATCGGAAACCATCCTCACCATGGTAGCCAATTGCAGTAATGTGATGAATAAGGCCAGACAACCGCCACCTGGAGTTATGCCAAAAGGACGCCCTCCCAGTGCTAGCAGCTTAGATGCCATTTCTCCTGTTCAGGTAATTGAAAGCTACAATTGATACATCTGCATTTGTTCATAGACTTGGAATAGAATAAGCTTCTACATCATCATGAATAAATTATCTGAATTTATTACATTTTAGATAACTCCACGTCTAACATACACTTACATTGTAAAGGAGATCCATAAATTGCCATTATTTCAATACATTGAGAATAGATTTCAGTCATGAAGTGAGACATGACTCTGAAAGGAAAGATACAAAACAATTAGGTAAATGGAAAGGGTTTCCTTTTAAAATAAGAATAGTTAGACTCTTGAGAAATAAGCACTGCCTTTGAACCTGATGTGTCTTATTTGTAGCTTCACAGGCCAAGCAGTAGTGCTAGAGCATAACAACTTCAGCTCTCTTCAGCTCTTCAGCTGAACTGCTCTTTTAAAAACCAGATACATTTAAGTTACTCCCTGACATCAACCCCCCCTTCTCTCTGGGAGCAACGTATTCTGTTTCTATTTTTAGCTGCACTGAACGGCAGGTTCGGGTTTAAGAAAAGAAAGAGGCATTTAGTGATTCTTCAGGGGCTACTTTAAAAAAGGCATTTGCTTGTTGTTTTCTGTAATCACGAAGGTATAAAGTAGGCTGCAAACTAAGAAGCTTGGAAGTACGGTTATTTTTTTTTTTTTTTAAAGAAACCATTTTGGTGAATAGCATACCTTATTTCTGTTTTAAAATCAGTGTAGATTTCTCCAACCCCCAGCATTCTCAGATTTGATTAGTTTGTTTTTTTTTTTTTTTGTTTAATTGTTTTTTTCCTTTTTGTCTTTTTTCGTGACCGGCAACGGATCGCAACCCTCAGTG